ATGCGGTGGTTGGGCGTGGTGGTGTGGGCGGCAGCGGCGGCGTGGGCGGTGCCTGTACCTGGCAGTTACTTCACTGACGAGGCTGCAGGAAGACTTCTACACTACGACGTTCACTCCGGAGACTGTGTCCTCTTCGGTGACAGGTGAGAGGAACGGGTAATAATAGCAAAGGGAGAAACAGCATGACAGTAGTGACACCAGGGCATAAACGGTAGAGGGAGGAGAGACTAATAAAGGAGGAAGCATTGGATAATAAGACAAAAGAGAGGATAATACGAAAGATTGAGAAGGATGACATAATTAGAAGAGGGAAGATATTTTATTATATTAATTAATATGACCAACCTTACATATGTTGCAACATTATTTGGGATAAAATAATAATAATAATAATAATACGATGATGATGATGATAAAATGATGATGATGATAAAATAATAATAACACTAATAATAATAATAGCAGTAATAATAAAACATTTACCCTTGCCAACATTCCTGCTGAAGTCACAAGTTCCCGTCTCCAACTTTCATGACGGAACAGAGATTTAAACTTAGAGTAAAAACTAAACTTGTATGTGAAACCTGTTTCGAAAAAGAAAAAAAAATCTCTACCGCATGTATACAAATTATAGAAAATTTCAATATCCATTCCCCTAGCAATATATTTTTTCTCATTCTCATTGTGCTGACTTCGATTAGTAAATTCTTATATGTCAGATTTATTTTAAGCTCCCATGATACTGAAAATGTTCAAGAGATAGATCAGAAGATTTTTAACTTATTTATACTCAGGAAAACTTTAACTACAAACACTGACAACACCACAAACACAACTCTGCTGTAACTACAAACACTGACAACACCACAAACACAACTCTGCTGTAACTACAAACACTGACAACACCACAAACACAACTCTGCTGTAACTACAAACACTGACAACACCACAAACACAACTCTGCTGTAACTACAAACACTGACAACACCACAAACACAACTCTGCTGTAACTACAAACACTGACAACACCATAAACACAACTCTGCTGTAACTACAAACACTGACAACACAGAACACCACAAACACAACTCTGCTGTAACTACCAACACTGACAACACAAAACATCACAAACACAACTCTGCTGTAACTACAAACACTGACAACACAGAACACCACAAACACAACTCTGCTGTAACTACAAACACTGACAACACAGAACACCACAAACACAACTCTGCTGTAACTACAAACACTGACAACACAGAACACCACAAACACAACTCTGCTGTAACTACAAACACTGACAACACAGAACACCACAAACACAACTCTGCTGTAACTACAAACACTGACAACACAGAACACCACAAACACAACTCTGCTGTAACTACAAACACTGACAACACCACAAACACAACTCTGCTGTAACTACAAACACTGACAACACCACAAACACAACTCTGCTGTAACTACAAACACTGACAACACCACAAACACAACTCTGCTGTAACTACAAACACTGACAACACCACAAACACAACTCTGCTGTAACTACAAACACTGACAACACCACAAACACAACTCTGCTGTAACTACAAACACTGACAACACCACAAACACAACTCTGCTGTAAACTACAAACACTGATAACACCACAAACACAACTCTGCTGTAACTACAAACACTGACAACACCACAAACACAACTCTGCTGTAACTACAAACATTGACAACACCACAAACACAACTCTGCTGTAACTACAAACATTGACAACACCACAAACACAACTCTGCTGTAACTACAAACATTGACAACACAGAGCACCACAAACACAACTCTGCTGTAACTACAAACACTGACAACACCACAAACACAACTCTGCTGTAACTACAAACACTGACAACACCACAAACACAACTCTGCTGTAACTACAAACACTGACAACACCACAAACACAACTCTGCTGTAACTACAAACACTGACAACACCACAAACACAACTCTGCTGTAACTACAAACATTGACAACACCACAAACACAACTCTGCTGTAACTACAAACATTGACAACACGACAAACACAACTCTGCTGTAACTACAAACATTGACAACACCACAAACACAACTCTGCTGTAACTACAAACACTGACAACACCACAAACACAACTCTGCTGTAACTACAAACACTGACAACACCACAAACACAACTCTGCTGTAACTACAAACATTGACAACACCACAAACACAACTCTGCTGTAACTACAAACACTGACAACACCACAAACACAACTCTGCTGTAACTACAAACACTGACAACACCACAAACACAACTCTGCTGTAACTACAAACACTGACAACACCACAAACACAACTCTGCTGTAACTACAAACATTGACAACACCACAAACACAACTCTGCTGTAACTACAAACACTGACAACACCACAAACACAACTCTGCTGTAACTAAAAACATTGACAACACGACAAACACAACTCTGCTGTAACTACAAACACTGACAACACCACAAACACAACTCTGCTGTAACTACAAACATTGACAACACCACAAACACAACTCTGCTGTAACTACAAACATTGACAACACCACAAACACAACTCTGCTGTAACCACAAACACTGACAACACCACAAACACAACTCTGCTGTAACTACAAACACTGACAACACCACAAACACAACTCTGCTGTAACTACAAACATTGACAACACAAAACACCACAAACACAACTCTGCTGTAACTACAAACACTGACAACACCACAAACACAACTCTGCTGTAACTACAAACACTGACAACACCACAAACACAACTCTGCTGTAACTACAAACATTGACAACACCACAAACACAACTCTGCTGTAACTACAAACACTGACAACACCACAAACACAACTCTGCTGTAACTACAAACACTGACAACACCACAAACACAACTCTGCTGTAACTACAAATATTGACAACACAAAACACCACAAACACAAACTCTGCTGCAACTACAAACACTGACAACACCACAAACACAACTCTGCTGTAACTACAAACATTGACAACACCACAAACACAACTCTGCTGTAACTACAAACATTGACAACACAGAGCACCACAAACACAACTCTGCTGTAACTACAAACACTGACAACACCACAAACACAACTGTGCTGTAACTACAAACATTGACAACACAGAGCACCACAAACACAACTCTGCTGTAACTACAAACACTGACAACACCACAAACACAACTCTGCTGTAACTACAAACACTGACAACACCACAAACACAACTCTGCTGTAACTACAAACACTGACAAACACAAAAACACAACCTTGCTGTAACTACAAACACTGACAACACCACAAACACAACTCTGCTGTAACTACAAACACTGACAACACCACAAACACAACTCTGCTGTAACTACAAACACTGACAACACCACAAACACAACTCTGCTGTAACTACAAACATTGACAACACCACAAACACAACTCTGCTGTAACTACAAACACTGACAACACCACAAACACAACTCTGCTGTAACTACAAACACTGACAACACCACAAACACAACTCTGCTGTAACTACAAACATTGACAACACAGAGCACCACAAACACAACTCTGCTGTAACTACAAACACTGACAACACCACAAACACAACTCTGCTGTAACTACAAACACTGACAACACCACAAACACAACTCTGCTGTAACTACAAACACTGACAACACCACAAACACAACTCTGCTGTAACTACAAACACTGACAACACCACAAACACAACTCTGCTGTAACTACAAACACTGACAACACCACAAACACAACTCTGCTGTAACTACAAACACTGACAACACCACAAACACAACTCTGCTGTAACTACAAACACTGACAACACCACAAACACAACTCTGCTGTAACTAACAAACATTGACAACACCACAAACACAACTGTGCTGTAACTACAAACACTGACAACACCACAAACACAACTCTGCTGTAACTACAAACACTGACAACACCACAAACACAACTCTGCTGTAACTACAAACATTGACAACACAGAGCACCACAAACACAACTCTGCTGTAACTACAAACACTGACAACACCACAAACACAACTCTGCTGTAACTACAAACACTGACAACACCACAAACACAACTCTGCTGTAACTACAAACATTGACAACACCACAAACACAACTCTGCTGTAACTACAAACACTGACAACACCACAAACACAAATCTGCTGTAACTACAAACACTGACAACACCACAAACACAACTCTGCTGTAACTACAAACATTGACAACACAAAACACCACAAACACAACTCTGCTGCAACTACAAACACTGACAACACCACAAACACAACTCTGCTGTAACTACAAACATTGACAACACCACAAACACAACTCTGCTGTAACTACAAACATTGACAACACAGAGCACCACAAACACAACTCTGCTGTAACTACAAACACTGACAACACCACAAACACAACTGTGCTGTAACTACAAACATTGACAACACAGAGCACCACAAACACAACTCTGCTGTAACTACAAACACTGACAACACCACAAACACAACTCTGCTGTAACTACAAACACTGACAACACCACAAACACAACTCTGCTGTAACTACAAACACTGACAACACCACAAACACAACTCTGCTGTAACTACAAACACTGACAACACCACAAACACAACTGTGCTGTAACTACAAACACTGACAACACCACAAACACAACTCTGCTGTAACTACAAACACTGACAACACCACAAACACAACTCTGCTGTAACTACAAACATTGACAACACCACAAACACAACTCTGCTGTAACTACAAACACTGACAACACCACAAACACAACTCTGCTGTAACTACAAACACTGACAACACCACAAACACAACTCTGCTGTAACTACAAACATTGACAACACAGAGCACCACAAACACAACTCTGCTGTAACTACAAACACTGACAACACCACAAACACAACTCTGCTGTAACTACAAACACTGACAACACCACAAACACAACTCTGCTGTAACTACAAACACTGACAACACCACAAACACAACTCTGCTGTAACTACAAACACTGACAACACCACAAACA